AACCAGTTCGGTTTCCGAAAAGAACGGTCAACTCTGAATGCAATCAAATTGGTTGTTGATGCAGCTAAGGATGCAATCGCTGGAACGAGATGGAAGAGTGGAAAGAAAAAATACTGTTTGGTGGCTGCTTTGGACATCAAGAATGCCTTCAACTCGGCTAACTGGGACTGTGTTATGCGGGCTCTAGAGGAAAAAACGTACCAGGATACCTTCGCTGAATAGTAGCGAGCTACTTCACGAATAGGGTTCTGAAATATGACACGAAGAACGGTACGGAAGTGTCCGACATCTCCGGAGGAGTGCCACAGGGATCAGTCTTAGGTCCTCTGCTATGGAAGATCATGTATGATGGCCTCCTGAGAATAGCATTGCCCACGGGGGTCAAATTTGTAGCATATGCGGATGACGTAGCTGTCGTGATCGTCGCAAAGCACCTCGATGAGATAGAGATGGCATTTCATATTACATTCAGACGAGTCAATTTGTTGATGGACATGATGAACTTGCAACTAGCCAAGCATAAAACCGAGGCAGTGCTCATTACTAGTAGAAAAACGGTAGAAACCATCAAGTTGAGGGTCGGAGAACAAGAAATAACATCACGACTATTTATCCGTTATCTGGGAGTGATGCTGGATGCTCGAGTCAACTTCGAGCAGCAGGTGGAATACGTCAGTGCCAAAGCGTCAGTAGTGAAGGCTAGTCTCGCACGGCTGATGCCTAACATCGGAGGCCCAATGCAGAGCAGGAGGCTACTAGTATCATCAGTAGTCACATCAGTGCTCACTTACGGAATACCCATTTGGGCTGATGCGCTGGAGACCCAAGAATCATGGCGAAAAGCTGGACCAGTATATCGATTAAGTGCCCGACGAGTAGCTAGTGCCTTCCGCAGTATATCAGAAGAGGCAGTGTGCGTCATTACTGGAACCCTACCTCTTAGAGTTCTAGCAGAAGAAAGACGGGCCCTTTACCAACGAAAAAGGTCAACTGCACTGAGCCCTGAAGAACTTAGAATTGAAGAACGGCAGAATAGCATAGGCCGATGGCAATTACAATGGGATGTTGCAGAGAAGGGTAGGTGGACGCACCGTCTAATACCTTGGATCGACATTTGGCTTAACCGGAATCACGGCAAAGTCAATTACTATCTTACCCAGATGTTGTCAGGACACGGATGTTTTCGAAAGTATCTACACTGCTTTAAGCACGATGACTCTTCGGAGTGCCCGTCCTGCCCAGGAATCAATGAAGACGCGGAGCACGTTTTCTTTGAGTGCCCACGATTTTACCCACAGCGAGATGAGCTGGAGATAATCCTGAAGAAGAAAATCCCACCAGAGACAATAGTAGAAGCAATGCTGTCATCAGAGGCTGCTTGGAACGCCGCAAACACGTTTGCAACAGAAGTCCTTATAGACTTGCGTTCCATCGAAAGAAAAACAGGAAATGACGACAACTAGAAGAAAGGTAAAATAATACCTTAGTTATCAGAAGGAAGAGCAGTCGCTATATCCTCCCCCCACGAAGTAATGCCTAACGGCGGTTTCCATGAGGGATTAGAGGAAAGAGGAAAGGGGTTTAGGGTTTAGTGGGTAGGGGCGCTAGCGTCGAGTTTTAGTATGACGCTGCGTCGAGTCGCCGGATATCCAGGCCAAACAACTACGCCTAGAATCCGTAAAAAGGATTCCCCCCTCCTAATGGGAAAAAAACACACACACACACACACACACACACACACACTTACAGACATAGTGACGTGTCCTCAACTTCTTCAGAAAATCGTCACTGCACTGTTTCCACAGCAACGCAACTTCGATTACCAGTTGGCGCCAGGCGAACTGGACAACATTTCACCTGTCACTGAAGAAGAACTGCTGGAGGCCTGTAACCGTGTAGGGAATCATAAAGCGCCGGGATTCGACAAAATCCCTAATATAGCTTTGGAAACCATCATAAAGGTAGCTTATAGATAAACTTTATATATGTATTAAATAAACTTTGTAGATGACAGTATCTTAGTCCAGGACCAAACTTGTTATGGCATTTCGATGGTTATGATAAGTTAAAGCAATTCGGGTTTGCGCTTGATGGTTGCATAGATGGCTTTTCTCGACGATTTATGTAGTTGCCCGGGGATAACGGTTTAGATCTGACCAGATATAATTATATGTGGTCAGATCTAATTATATCTGGTCAGATCTACTTATATCTGATCAGATATGGGATTGGAGACATAATCAGATCTAGACATATCTGATCAGATCTAAACAGATATAACTATATCTGAGTGGAAAAATAAATCAGACATAATCAGATCTAGTTATATCTGATCAGATCTAAACAGATATAACTATATCTGGGTTGAAAAATACATCAGACATAAAAAGATTTTATTACATCTGGCCAGATATAACTATATTTGTTTAACTATTAATAAATACTTATAAGCCGCGCAGTAGCCTATCGGATCCGGCCCTTGCTACCAAAGCTTTGGACCGGGTTCGAGTCCTGCGTACACCAATTAATATTTTCAATATTTAAGTGTATTATTCTGCTCGGCCCAAGAAATACAAACGAGTTCCAATCTCAAAAGTTTACCCCCTACCGTAGTCGCTCATGACCTTAGTAGTTTATGCGACTTTAAACAAATTAAAAAAAAAAAAAATACTTATAAACTATTTTACTCAATATACTTTCCTCCAAAATAAATATATATTGAATGTTAAAAAATATTTATTAGAATTTAATAAATTAAATAATTGTTTTCGAATAAATTAATTTGTTAATAGTTAATGAATCTTTCTATCAGCGTATATTGATAATTAATAATTTGCAAATTAGATAAAAAACATTGTTCACTACGCATCGATCATGGACACGATTCACATTACTTGTAGTTATTACAAACTCCACTCTTCAAGAAAGCCTCGTGAGTAAACAGGTAATGAACTAGTCTTACAAGAGTCAGGTCCCAGGTTCGGTTCCCGCGCGCGCCGATTTTTTTTTTTATGGAAATAATTCTATATTATTGTATATAATTATATAGGGCCATTTTTCGTATATAATCATGTATGAGTATATATAATTATATATAATCTTATTTACTTGGGCAATTTAAAGATCTGATTATATCTGGCCAAATCTCGTCAGATAGAGACAATATAAAGATCTGGCCAGATCTGTTTACATATGGCCAGATCTAATCAGTTTTTCCCGGCTGGAAGTAGCAACAACAAACAATAATCCAACTGTCACAGCGTACTACTATTTGAAAACCATCAAAACGCTACAATTCTTTCCAATAACACCGGCTCACAAAAAAAAAAGTTGTCTGTACACCGGGCGCCACCTATCTACGGACATGTTTTTCGACCCGCTGAACACGAATTTCAAGTCAGTTTAGGCCGTCCGGGCTTCAATTTCGAGTAAATTGCAAATAACCCTAAAAAATATCGAAAATTCGATTTTTTGGCAAGAAAAAAAATTTTGAGATCTAATGCAAGCATAATTTTCATGTATTTTCATCTGTTAAATACTAATATTGATCGTACTTTAATCATGAACCGTTTTAAATCTAAAAAAATTAGAAAAAATCATCAAAAATTGCAAAAATCGAAGAAAATTGGGATTATCTTGGTATAAAAAATTTTGTGGACCCGGATTGACGAAGATTTTCAGGTAATTTAATCTGCTTGATCTGATTCTGCAATAAATTTGGCTCATAGTCCCCTCAAACATTTATAAAATTGCAAAAAATCGATTAAATAGCAGAAAATTGCTGATGAAAAAATGGAAAAAAATCTTTTAAACACAATTAAATAAATTTCTCGTAATTTTTATTAACAAAATACTATATTAAAATCTGAAAATGCAAAAAAATTGTAAAATCTATGAAACTGACGTATTAACAGAATTAGAAGAATGATTTTCCTAACTTTAAAACTGTTTTCCGGTGGTATCGAGCTCTTTTATCTTTAAATGATCTACCGAGTGGATTTTTCTTCTGTTTGTTATTATCTTCTGGTATATCTCTTTTGAGTGTTCAGCAAGAGTCTGCTATCATGTTGATATTCCAATTTCCTTGATACCTAGTCTCCATTTCACTTATGTCTTGATGAAAACGTTCTCCCTGTTCTTCACATGGTAGTTTCAGTCATACAGAAGTAACAGTTATGCGAACTAGTTGGTGAAGTCCAGATCATGGGAATTGTAAATTTAAAGTTTTCTCCGTTTTTGGTTTTTTCCCATCGTGTCAACATAATATTACATCGACCACAAGCAAAGTGTGGGACCCATGCTGAATCCAAATTTGTAATTTGAATGCAAAGCATTCTTCATAATTTTGTTTTAATCTATCTGAAAACGTTCTGAATTTTTTTACCGGCTGAAACTCCCCACAAACGTAACAAAATAGATCAGGACTCTTATTGCATAGATAAGAATTGCTTCTTGTAATACTATACTCTCCAGTAGCCAAGTTTTCTACTACTGAAGAGCTGCAGTCGCTGGATGACGACGCCTGCGGGCCTGCTTTTTCACCCTGACCAGACGCCGATACTGGGTTTCCGAATCCCTGCATCGTAAAGTACTCATCACTTGTAAATGTATGACGGCACACACACCGTTAACCCAGGGACTCGGCCAGATGGTTCTGTTGCCCATCGTCGCCCCGAGGAGGTGCCGTGGTTGCAAGTACAAGCGATCATGCAATGAAATGAAGTCTGCACATCGAAGAAGTTGAAATCCCAACACGATGGCAAATTTTTACTAAATAATGGAAAAGGTGGAAGAAGAGGTATCCACATCGTAGATCATTTGAGAATGAAACAGTACAATATCCTTGAAAAACCATTAACAATTCAATTTGCGTACATTCTTGGATCTTAATCTTGTATTTTAGAAATAAAAAATACAAGAAATTTCTTTAATCGTGTTTAAAAGATTTTTTTCCATTTTTTCAGCAGCAATTTTCTGCTATTTAATCGATTTTTTTCAGTTTTATGAATGTTTCAGGAGACTATGGGCCAAATTTATTGCAAAATCAGATCAAGCAGATTAAATTACCTGAAAATCTTCGTCAATCCGGGTCCACAAAATTTTTTATACCAAGATAATCCCAATTTTCTTCGATTTTTGCAATTTTTGATGATTTTTTCTAATTTTTTTAGATTTAAAACGGTTCATGATTAAAGTATGATCGAAATTAGTATTTAACAGATCAAAATACATGAAAATTATGCTTGCAGCAGATCTCAAAATTTTTTTTCTTTCCAAAAAATCGAATTTTTGCTATTTTTTGGGGTTTTTTGCAATTTACTCGAAATTGAAGCCCGGACGGCCTAAACTGACTTGAAATTCGTGTTCAGCGGGTCGAAAAACATGCCCGTAGATAGATGGCGCCCGGTGTACAGACAACTTTTTTTTGTGTGCCGGTGTAATTATACGATGTGATAAAGGTTCGGAGAATGTGCTTATTAGAGAACTGCAGATATCATTACAAGAAATACATACAGATAAGCTTTCTGGAAAAAAGAGTTTTATCCACGGCAAGAGCGTCAAAAATCAGCGTATAGAATCGTATTGGGGGCAAATGCGACAACATACGGTGGACTTTTGTATACAAATGTTCAAATGTCTGCAAGAACAGAATTTATTTGATGGGAGTGCTTACATATGGAATGTTTATACCTTTGTTTTGGTCTACTGATAAAATACGATTTGGAAAATAATATAAAACTATGGAACCAACTCCGCATAAGGCAATAAGCTTTATGTAATCATCTTGGTGGACAACCAAACGTACCATTTCATTTACCTCATCAATATCACTGCAAGGATTTCAAAAAAATGATTACTCTAGATACCATTGACAAACTAATGGAAAATTATACAAATAAGCCTCAAGTATTTGATCTTCTAATAAAAGAATCAGCAGAACTGCTGATACCAGATTTTACGATTCCAACAAACTCAACCGATGCATTAAACTTACAAAAAAAAAATAAGGAAAACGGTTGACCCTGAAGGCCATCCCTGCAACTTCCCGCCAATTCTATACCTAAACGCTTGAAATTGCACTTATGACGTTTTAGAGCTCTTCGAGCTCATAAATACAATTTGTGTATTATTTCAAGCTTTCCAAGCTTAAAAAATAGCTTTTGTATGCTTTTGAGCTCTTCGAGCTCAAAAGTTTGATAGAAGTTTGATAAAACACTATTTTTTTAATTTTCAAATCGCAATAACTTTTGAATGAATGAACCGATTTTCACGCGGTTGGTAGCATTCGACGCAATTTTTTAAGCTTTATGTAAAATTTTTAAGTTTATATTGACAGAGTGGAAAACTTCGGAGTAATTCCGAAAAAACGCTTTTTTCGGTTTTTTTTCGTCAACGATAACTCACGAACGAATCAACCGATTTTGACTGGACTGGCGGCGATCGACGTGGTATTTCGATGTTAAGAGCTGATTAGTTTTTGAAATTGATCGATAAAGCTGTTTATATTGTTAAAAATATAAATAAAAATAAAAAAAATTGAATTGTAAAAATTATTTATTAAATAATTGTGTAATTTTTAGCGATCTACAGCGTTAACGGCTAAGCTCAGTAGCGCGCAGAGCACGTACTGCTTGCCACTGCGTCGTATAAAAATTCATATTATTTACAATAATACCGGGCAGTGAAATTTTATTTTGAAATAAAGAACTTAAATGTATAACGCGTATTACTAAAAAAGAAAAATTCGATTATCGTACTGAGAAGTCATTGAAATTTTAATTTGTTCATTAAAAAGTTAATAAAAAATACGATAATAAACAAATGAAATTTTCAAAAGAATTTTATTTGAAAATATAGATATTTTACTATAATCGCTGAAAATTTCGTTAAGTTATCTTCAATAGCTTTTTCACGATTAATTTTTTAATTGAAAGTACAGAAAATTTTTATTGTTAAAAAAATTGTTGTTAAATTCAAAATTTTCAAAAACTGATTCGAGGGATGATTTTTAGGTATAACTACTTTCGATAATTATATTTTAATAAGTTTTCTATCACCAAGTGGTAAAAGGGGGGTCCACTTGACGTATTTTGACTCTTTTAACAGTTACTTCCAGCGCTGTAGTGTGTTAATAAAGACGTAATTGTGAATTCTTTGTCTTTATCTTAAGAGAGAATTGCCAAAAATTACATTTTTTACCAATTGTGTTAGTAAATTGATGAATATTGTCCTCTTCGTTGTTAGCTAATTCAATTATTGAATTATCGAAAGTGCTTGCATTCATCGAACTTCGCATAGCTGCTAATGAGAGTTGCAGGATTTGTTCGTACGAATAATCCAAATTTTTACCAAGTTCAACTTTTTTCACACCACCAATAAGTTCTTTCACTTGTTAATCATCCCTTTTAGATGAATCACTTTTGTGCTTCCATTGGAGCCACTATTGGCTCCGTGCCTTTATTTATCTGTCATAATTTCTCGAGACAAAAAATTCTCAACAAAAATTTTTCATACAAAAATTTATCGCATGCAAAAAATTCTCTAGCGAAAATTTCTTGATTAATAAAATTTTCATAGAACAAAAAATTATCCGTCAAAAATTTCTCAAATTTATAATTAAGGATTTACAATAAATTGAGGTTTATATAATATGCGTGAAAAAATTATCATATAAAATACTGTGCTACTAAAAGCAATGAATGGAAATGAAATTGTATAGTTTTATAACATTTTAATACATAAATATAAGTTATTAGAATGGGGGGCTCCACCCCCCAACCCCCGCCAGGGCTTCGCCCCTGGACCCCAAAAACTTTAAATTTATATAATAATAATAATAATAATAATAATAATAATAATAATAATAATAATAATAATAAATAAAGTTATTATAATGGGAGGCTCCGCCCCCAACCCCCGCCAGGGCTTCGCTCCTGGACCACAAAAATTTAAAATTTATATAATAATAATAATAATATTTGACCAACACTGAAGCTTGTAACCGTGCTGTGCCCTTTTATCATGCCCTGGCGGATTCGTAGTCACGGTAAAATGATCGTGAAACGACGGTGAAAGCACCGTCAATTCACAGTGTAGACAAATTATCGTCGAATAACCGTCACGACTGTCGAACGACCGTCGTTTGACAGTGAACGATGAGTATAGCTGTGAACGATTTTCACTGTTACTTTATGATTTTTATTCTGTATAGTTATCATACTTCATTCGTCGAAAAACCAAATTTTTACTTGACTTCTCCGATTTTTTACCTAAGTAAAAATCGTAGATCATCGATCGATCGTCTGTCATTTCACGGTAGTTTTTAGGTGAAACGACCGTGAAACGAGCGTATAATGTCGGTAAGTCAGGAATGTTTTACTAGTCAACGATGAAAACGTGCTGACAATATTATATTTTTTTTTATTTCATTAAAAATACTCAAAGTGTATAAAAAGATAGGTAAATGAGAAATTTTCAATAAATAATTGGGATGAAAAATTTGAAAAAAATATTAAATTATTGTAATTTTGTTTATTTCAAAGTAAAATCATAAAGAATTAATCAGACTATAGGCAATCAACAGAGATCCATCATTTCAATACTTTTCAGAAGAGTTTATGGCTTACAAGTGTTGAATTTTTTTTCATAGTTTTAAATGAGAAACTATAATACTTTTTGATTGTGAAAAATGTAATAATCAATATTGTTTTTTTTAATCGGAAGATATTTTATTCAACAATTAATTAATAAATTATAATTTAATTTCAACTTAACTATAAACATATTTTCTGCACGTCAAATATTTTCACCGTAATTCCAAAATTTGAATTCTTTATTAAAGATTTGAGTTTTTTTTTTTTTTCAGACGAAAACTTTAATTTTGAAATTACGGAAAAATTATTTGTTATCAAGAGAAATTATTATGAGATACTTTTTTTTAGCAATTAAATTTTTTAGCAATTTCTTTTCCAGATCTTTTTTTTATACAGTTAATAATTTCACCGTAATTTCGAAATCAAGAATTTCGTAATCATAAAAAATTTTAATCATTTATTACGATTATTATTTTGAAGTCCAAGAAAAAATATAAATTTATTTAAGCTATTTTTATCTGTACGATAAAAAAAATGACTGGGTTTCGACACCTTATCATGTCATTGAATCGATCTTACGTGCAATGTCGCAGATAGCCTAACTGGTAAAGATTCGGGCGCGCGACCAGATGAACTGGGTTCGAGTCCCGGTCTAGACTGTTCGAAGTATTTTTTTTTATTTTATTGTCCGTGACAGTAGCGTAAAATCACCGTATTTCGACAGTATATTGAGCGTACGGTGTCGGTCATAACATCGTAGATTCACTTGCGTTTGCACCGTATATATTCTGTTAATTAACAGTGAATGTCGTTCACAACTGTATCCGATGCAGACTGACAACTCGCTCGGTAACAACGGACTTTATACGGTGAAACGACTGTGAAACGACCGTGAAACAACCGTCAATCGACTGTGTTTTCACCGTGTTGCCGAAACCGCCAGGGTGGTTATTGTGCATGTTAATTCGATATTTGACCAACACAGTAGCTTGTAACCGTGCTGTGCCCTTTTATCATGGTTATTATGTGTAATTTTTATTTTTATATGAGAAATTTTTATATGAGAAATTTTTGTATGAGAAATTTTTGTATGAGAAATTATTGTATGAGAAATTTTTGTCGTAATAGAATTATGGAGCCATAAAGAAATTTTTGTACAAGAAAATTATACCGGATAAATTTTGACGATGAGAAATAATGCCTTTAAGAAAATATTGTAAAAGAAATTATTGCTGAGAATTTATGTCGCGAGAAATTTTTGCGTGAGAAAAAAGAGACGGTCACCCTTCCATCCTATGTATAGAAACTTTCTTGATTTTTCTGGCTTAACCTGTAAATAAAATTTAATTGAATGAGGCGAAAAGAAATATTGTTAAAATTATTATTACATAAATTAGATGAGTGTTTTAAGTAATGTAGGATCAGATTCCTGAAGGTCATTTTGGAATGTTACTTACATCAAGTTTTGGCAAATTTTCGTGTGATAAATTTTCATCATTATTTCCTTGGATAAACTTTATTACTTTCTATATTCTTCTTCTCTTAGAACTATTATGATGTCTCTCTGTAAAAAAAAAAAAACAAAAAAAGAAAAGTTGATAATAATAATTTTCTCCCTAGGCGGACGTATGGGGGTTTTTACGCGCAGACGACACTCAATTTGTAAATAATACGCGTACGTGCCAGTAACTACTAGGCTATAAAGAACTTTATACAGTCGAGAACAATGTCACGCAATCGTTACCAATCTCTATACAGCCGAGTAGCTTACGTTTCAACTGTCATTTTAAATTAAAAAGCGCACCGTTGACTAACTTCAAGACTTTCATGTATTTTTATTTGGAGGATTAGAGGGTTATGGCGTCGTACGCTATTTATTTATAAATTGAGTATCCCCTGCACGTAAAAACCCGCATACGTCCAACATAGGACGAAAAATTTTTTAAGCACCATGGGCAAGCCACGCGCAAATACGGTCTCGGCGATAATTATTTGCAGCAGAGATTTAAAGCCTCGGCCCTATCGGGCCGCAGCCTTATACTATTCCTGCTGAAAATATTTATCACCTCGACCGTATTAACGCGTGACTTGCCCAAGGTACATAAATAACTAAGAT